CTTTATTATCTTTAACTTTATATATTTTCAGGATGGTTCTTCCTAGCATGACTCTACTTGTTGCCCTCTTCTGTTCATTAGATTCTCTGGATCCTCGAGTCCATTGGCACCAGCTGTGTCTCAGCCTTTTGGAGAAAATCTCCATACTGCCCTCAGGTAGTTTCTCAGAACAGAGCATTGCTGCTAGATTAGGGCCTTTATCTCTTGCACTGACTCAGATCTCATTCTACTGAATCACCTACAGTGAATATTTCATTCTTCAACATAAAAGTGAGGGAAATGGTGAAACAGCAGCAAGCTATCCTAATGTATTAAATTATCTATTTGTGTATTAAGTCTATTGCAAAGGTCTTTTAACTTACCTTTGGGTTAATGATAACATATTGATTGATTGATTGATTGATTTGGGGAAAGTTAGTTGTTCGTGCTACTATAACTATCTCTAAAATTTCATGATTATAATGCCTCCTTGTATTATGTTATCTGAATATTATTATAAAATTTAATTAGGACATTATGTGCTTAGAATAGTACATCACTCAATCAATACTAGCTATCATAATATTAAATTATTATCTAATTAGCTTAAATAGGAAACTCTAAAAGTCATAAAATCTAATTTCTCAATTTAAAGCATCCTCAGGAAGAATTGCTTTGTCAATATTTCATACCAAACATGAATAAGTTAAAATGGAGGCCATAGAAGTTAACTTTGGTTTAAGGACAGACTCCAAAAAAAATTTCTCTCTGGTATAAATTCAGACAAACTCTTGCCTCACTGAAAAGAAAAAAATTGCACCTACTGGGAAGGGAAAGTCCATATGATACTGATTTTCTATTTATCTTTCAAAATACAAATGATATTCTTGGTGATATAGCCCCATAGATCAGTATTGAACTGCCTATCTCTCTCATATTAACTTCCACACTTCTATAAACTGGAACTAAACTTCTGAAACCATGATACAATGTTTAAACAGACCTTCACTAAGATGTCAAATCATCTTTACTAGTGTTATATCGAAGAATCAAGGTAAAGCAGCAAGTATGGGCTCACAGGGAATATTTCTCAAAGAGTTAGAAGGTTGACCTTTTCATTAATTGGCAAATTCACTTACTGTCCTTTGACTTCATATGTCAGGATAGCAACTCCATTGGAAATATATTACATTGATTCACCAAAGTATATAAATTTGTCTTCCTCATCTTTTTCAACTAAATTGATAATGAATGTCCAGTCACCGAAATCGCTACTCATTTGAGGTTATTATTTTTAACCAAGCTGAGCTATTCTTGTAGGATAAGTAGTCAAATAAGAAACTGATGATTTTTGTTGCTAAGGAGAATTTTATGCATTGTTTAATAATTCAACTATTAACACCTCTGGCAAAACAAATGCCTATCTGACATCATGTTTGCAGTCACAACACAACCAATCATATTATTTGGAACTTTAGATATTTATCTCCCCGCCCCCAATTCAAAAATGTTGAGAATATTTGTAGGAAATTGAGGTAGTCAAGGGAATGATTATAAATTGATTATTCCCACAAATGCATTTTATTCTTGGAGACCTGTGTACATTTGATAACTAATATTTGTAGGAGGAAGAAGAATAAGAGCAACACAGTCATTGGAAGCAGACTAAAGTCATTCATCATCACCTTCAGCCCTGCAGTAATTCCTGTACCAGATACTAGATTAAAATCTTCTAAACATTAAGTCCTGCAAAGAAAATTAGCTCAACTCTCTCTTTTTACTTAAGAATTACAAAGAGGCAATCTAATGATCAGTATTGAACTTTATAAATTAATTGGTTTTAATGTATTTTTGATTGCACCTATTTTGTGAAAGGTACTATTTGAAACTGTTGGAGTGTATCTGTAAATAAATTTTTCAAAGATCTCTGCCATTGTGGGGGCCAGGACAATAGTATAGTGGTTAAGGATGCTGATCTAGGCATCCCATATGGTTCCCAGAATCCCATATGTTGAGGGAACAGGAGCCACTCCCAGAGATGATCATGGGGCCATACAATGACAGAATCAAACCAAGGTTTCACATGTGCAAACCACGTGCTCTACCACTTAAACAACCACTCTGAGACTTAAGAACTATTTTTTTTTGTATAATAAAAAGCAATATATGCTCTGGGCAAATGAAGCTGGGTAAAAGTGAATGTGGAATAGGGAAAGAGATTGCAGCTTAGTATAACTGGGATGAAATGGTAATGCCACAGAAATGTAGACACACTATGTATGGAGTAGAAAAATAGAAAATAGGAATGCATGCATCTTTAAAGATCTGTCAAGGTATTAAAAATACATCACTTCCTTCCTTCTCTCATTTACTTGAGAGCAATTCCTGGCTTTGTCCTTAAATGTTTTAAAGGAAATGAATTATACAGGAAATGATGATACCTTGCCTCTCGGTTCCTACAAAGTCCTTCCTAATTAAGCTCTGTGAGCAGCACTTTTCCCATTAGTTGTTCCAGTTGCAGTGGATGAAGAAAACATTGAATGAAATATGCAGTACAGTCAAGGAAGCAGTTCTTGGCATCCCTTAGTTGCTCAGCATCCCTTATTTGTTTGGAACAACTTTATCCAAATGAAGTATAATAAGGTGCAGAAGCTCTCATGGAGCCTATGACTGTGTTAAGGTAAGTCTCTATTAAATGAGCAGGGGTGCGGGGGAGCTGGGGAATGAGGCAATGCTAAATAACTATTGCAGATGCAGTCAAGTGTGGGAAAGAACCACCACTGTGGTCTGGAGATAGCTTGGGGTCTTCCTGCCAAAGTGAGACCACTTTTGTAAGCTTGAGTGTGGTGATGAGAGGAAACAAATGAAAAGAGACAAAAGCATCTCAAGAACACCTAAAAGGCACAGAGGTCAGTGCCCCTAGGGGAATAAAACCTAACTGTGAGACTTCATGACCTGAAATGAGCAGCCACAGGAAAAATAAAAAAGATCCCTACACAGAGAAAGTCTTTTTTTTTAATTGGATCACCATGAGATACAGTTACAAACTTTCATGAGTATAGTTCAGTCAAACAATGCTCGAGCAACAATCCCTCCACCAGTGCACATTTACCACCACCAATGTTCTCAGTATCCCTCCCGCCATCTCCCCCCACCTCCCATCTCACCTCCTGCCTCTGTGGCAGGTACAATCCATCTCACTCTCTCTACTTTGGGGAATTATTGTTTGCAATACAGATACTAAGAGGCCATCATGTTTGGTCCTTAGTCTACTTTCAGCAAACATCTCCTATCCCAAGCAATCCCTCCAACCATCATTGACTTAGTGGTCCCTTCTCTATCCCAACTGCCTTTTCCCTACCACGTGAGGCCAGCTTCCAACCCGTGGAGCAAACCTCCTGGCCCTTATCTCTACCATCCTAGGTATAAGTCTCATATTATGTTACTTTATATTCCACAAATAAGCGCAGTCATTCTACACATAGAAAGTCTTCAGTGGGGAGAAGGAGCGGGAAGTAGCCACCTTGTTAGACTGAATCATTGCAGCCTTCCCAGGGAGGCACAGCTGGACCAGAGAAACCCAGTTACAGAGGTAGCACTGTCCTCCCGTTGTTCATCAATTTGCTCTAGTGGGCACCAGTAACTTCCCCATTGTGAGATTTGTTGTTACTGTTTTTGGCATATCGAATATAACACAGGTACCTTGCCAGGTTTTGCCATGCAGGTGGAATACTCTCTGTAGCTCGCTGGGCTCTCCGAGAGGGATGGAGGAACCTATCACAGGTTGGCTGCGTGCAAGGCAAATGCCCTACCCGCTGTGCTATCACTCCAGGCCAGTTACAGAGGTAATGCCATTAAATTTCACTTTAAAAAGTAAAATGTGTGATAGCACAGCGGGTAGGGTGTTTGCCTTGCACATGGCCCACCCGGGGTTCGATTCTCAGCATCCCATATGGTCCCCCAAGCACCGTCAGGAGTAACTGATAAGTACAGAGCCAGGAGTAACCCCTGTGCATTGCTGGGTGTGACCCAAAAACAACAACAACAACAACAACAACAACAAAAGTAAAATGTAGGCTGAAAATAATGATCTCCATCAAACAGAAGGGTGTCTCCTCATCTCCCATCGCGTAGCTGCCTGAGTCTCCAAGCATGGTCTCCGTCCCTATGGTCATCCACTTTAGATGAATCCTGAGAAAGTTGACACTCGGGTAGTGAGCTGAGAGGTCCAGAAGAAACAAGAAGGAGGTGGGGGGACAATTAGAAAGCGGGCACCTGCGTACAGTTTATCCCAAGCAGGGTGCCTCCGGATTGCTCCCCCAGGCCAGCAGGGAGCTCCCAGCCTGCCATCTGTTCTCGGTTCCTATAAGCAGCCTGAGAAACTGGTCAACCTGGGTCAATTCCCAGCAGTGAGCTCTGTCCACGTGGAACCCAAAGGCCGCGTGGGTGGGCCATGAGCCTGACACTTTCTTAGGGCTGTTTGCTCTGGTCCCAGAGGTCGGGCACCCTTTGGATCCCAAGGCATCCCACCTACAGGTTTCTGCCTCTCTAAGTACCTAATACCCAATCCCAGAAGCCGCCCCTCCCACACACCCCCTGCAGCGAAGCCTGCGCCCCTCGCAGCCACAGCTAAGACCCGGAGAACTGGAATTTCACTTCGAAACTCCCGTGCCTGGCTAGGGCCAGCGCTGGGCATGCTCAGAAGCCGCGGCGCGTCTGGGTAGCGGCTGGGTCTGCACCGCCTGCCCAGCAGCCTTCTCCGCGGCCGCTGCGGGGCTGCCTGGAGGCCGAGCGATCGCTGGCACGGGGCGCCTTGGCCCGCACTCCGCCTCGCCCGGCTCGCCCTCCGCCACCGCCTCTGACGCTTCGTCCTTTCCCCGCGCTCTCCAAGAGGCGAAGCTGGGGCAGGTTCCCGTCGGCGCCACCGACCGCTCTGCAGAACCCCAGAAGAGGCAACGGGGACCGATTCCCAGAGATCCGAGTCTGCCTGGCGGTGGCCCTTGTCAACAGTACTTGCTGGAAGCGGGGTCGTGGCGGAGTTTCCCCTCCAGCCCCCGATGCCAACACTATGCGGAGGGCAGTCTGCTTCCCTGCTCTCTGCCTGCTCCTCAGTCTGCACGCTGCAGGTAAGGGTGTCGTGCACAGAGCTGCGGAGGAGATGGGAAACTGTACATGCTTAAGGACTCTAGGAAAAGCTTCCCTCGCAAGAGAGAGGTAGAGAGCGAGAGAGGGAGAGCGAGAGCGAGAGAGCGAGAGAGCCTTAGAAAGGCAAAGCAGCATAGTACTAACAGGAAATGGGGGATAAGAGTCCTGCACCTGTTGGAAGACTAAGGGCCAAAAACTTAAGCTAGAACCAGCTCTTGAGTTGTTCTTTACCACATGCAAATGGTAATGAGCATTTTAAATAAGAATTCGGGTTTCCTTGCCTTTCCTCTTCCCTCTCTCGAGACTCTCTGATCCTGTTTCTAGCCTATGCAGTTGACTGGCAGTTTTTCAGGAGGCAAGACGTCCTGCTGTTTGTAACCTTTTCTACTGCAGCGCCTACATCTGTAAGGTCTCTTGGTTTAGCGAGAGCTCTCAGGGTTACACTGGCTGGAACCTGATGGACCACATCTCCGCCCGAATGATTGAGAAATCTGGGTCGCACGAACGATTATGCTCCAGGCCCTTTTGGCCCCTGCTCTTGTCACTCGAATTTCTAAACCAACGAGGGAAGGAAAGGTTTACATGGGACTCTGTCTTCTATTTCAGCACCATGGCCAGCGTCTGAGTGACACCCCGACTCCCCCACCCCCAATCTCACTTTTAAAGCTGACAACCTGGGGTAGACACTGTCCCTGACACGGAATTAGCGAGGTGCAATCAAAAGCCACAATGAGTTTGCTCACAAATATGAATATATTTGCTAGCAGTCCAATATCAGATTTCACATCGATGCAAATCTTAGGAAGTACCTGGGGAATTTTGTTAAAATGGGATGGCATTGCAGATCCAGCTTCTTAAATCCATACAGCTTCTATTTAATACAAGGACTGACATAGTGGATTGAATCCATCATTTTTCTCATACACATGAACTAAAATAGAATATGGCAGAGAGATTTTAGAAACCTTACTGCAACAGCAGTTGTCCATGCAGTAGTTCTGTAGCTACCAGATGAGGTATTTTCCTTAAAGCAATTGCTTAGTTTGTTTGTCATCCAATCACACACATCCATTCATTCAAATAGCATTTATTTAGTATGTACTCTATTCTAGGGATAATGAATAAAAATAATAACTGTGAAAAACAATTCCTCTGATATCTTTTCAAGAGTGGGTAAGTCAAATACTAAACATGCAAGAATGAAAGGTAATGTGGTACTTTATTTCTAACTGATGATATTTTAATGTGTTGTAACTATCAAAAAGTTAATGCATAGGGACATTAAAACTATAATCAAGTATACATGTTAGTTTGCTATAATTATTGTATTGCATTGTGGAGTTTTCAATAGGATTGGGGTACCTTTTGCAAACTAGAAATTAGCTATGTCTTTGTCATTAAATTATTTGCAGACAACAATTGTAAATATTTTTATTAATAAATACAATTCTTTACCATAGAAATATAGGATACAAATTTATGTTTGGGTTATTTTATTTACATGGTTGTTTACTGCTAGCACTTATATAAACATTACTACCAAAATAGGGAAGCCTCCATTCTTTATAAAGTTGACAGATTATTTGGTTTATCTACTAAAAATATCAATGTAGCTATTTTTAAAAACTACAAAAATAAATAATTTAAAATGCAACATGTAATACAACTTGAGTAATTATAGCTTTAGAGTTATAAATAAATTGAAAACAAGCAGATGGAAAACATTTCTATATTTATTGAAGGTGAATATTTGGAATGGGGAAAATAGAGGACTTTTATTCAGGAAGGATAAACCTAGAAATCTGTGGGCCTATATTATACCTGGAGTTCTGCCAAATATAAAGGGTGCATTACCAAAGAAAACCCAATCCATCTCTACGTTTAATTCATAAACTGCAAAAAAGACAAAAAATATTATACAACTTCAATGATAGTTTATTCAACCAATTTTTATTGAAGTGAGGTATTACAATGATATCTTTCAGATTTCAGTTGCAAGATGCTACATAGAAATTAATTATATTTATATTTAATCTTTTATTTAGATAGGTGTTTTTCACAGAAGATTACAAGTTTAATATTATAGTTGACTTGCCAGTTTCATTTTGAATGCATTTTAATTTTAAACAGTGAATTTGTGGGTCACAAGCTGTCATCAGATTAAAATTCATCACAGTTATCTAATAATACTGTTAGGGCTTTTCATTCTTACTGAAATAAATATAGATTTCTTGCTGTAAGTTCCTGTAGACTTGGGTAATAAAAAATTGAGTGGATACAAGGACAAAGATCAAGAATTCACTGGTTACTTGTTGAATGACTGAGCTTTTTTCTTTTACAAGGTATTTTCATAGGATAGAAACATGCTTTAAGAAAATAAAACTGGATTCTATATACCCATGCCTCTTTAACTGAAAAGATAATTGATCCATTTTGGTTATGCCCTGGGCACCAGCAACTGTTTTCTGCTGGCAGAATTGATGACATCTTAGAACCCTTTAGGGATAGTAGAAATTAACTAACAGGATGTGAGTGATCTTTTTAGCTGTATATAGAACTGTTGCCTTTCAGAAAATTATTCCCCTAATGATAAGGTAGCAAATTGTTTCCAGTTTTAGTGCCATCTCTAATTATTTGGTCATGTTTGCCTGAACACTATGCATATAAAGGGGGGAGGGGTGAATTCTGATGAACCAGGAGTTTAATTGACTTAACACGGAGTAGTACTGTGATCTGTTGGAAACATCTGTGAGTACAAAAAGGAAAGGAAGGTACAACACTGTGTGATTAATATGGTGGAGTAAGAAAGGAAATCTGAACTCAGCTCTAGCCAGGAGAGCTGGCCTGTACGGATCTCCTTAATGAGGAAAGTTAGTTATTTTCTACCCAAGTCCTTATTATAGTAGATTATCCCAATTAGTATATTTTGATATATTTACTGTCATCAGGGTCCATGAGGGTCATACAGAGGAGCAGTCAGGACAGGGTCATGAAGTGCCAAATATCAAACTTGATGCCTCACACATGCTAGGCAAGTGCTTTACCATTTGAACTAGCTCCCCCACCAGTAACTCCTTATGACTTCAAGCTACCATTTTAATGGTGTTCATTTATCTAAAACTCAAACTGTTCCCAGAAATCATATATACCCAGAAGACTTAGTTTTAAAACAAACTTTCTCCAAAAAAATGGACTTAAACAGATTTCCTCAAATAATTATGAAGGGAAGGACAATAATGGGTAGATTTGCTAGATCCAAGAAGTCCCAGTCAAATCAGTGGAAAAGTTCTTTGAATTGATTGCCTGATGCTCTGTTTCTTTAACCTTTTTTTACCAACTCAAATCTAACTCTTGTGATTCTCTTTATTTTTTGTCTTTTGGGATCACACCCATTGATACTCAGGCATTACTCCTGGTTATGCAGTCAGGAATTACTCCCTGGTGGTACTCAAGAGACGATATGGGATGAACCCAGGTCGACCTGCCCTAGCCTCTGTACTATCACTCTGGCAACACCCGCGATTCTTTTGTTGAATATAATTAAGGTTACCGGGCATCTTATTCTTAGCAATGAATATTCATAGAACATATTAAATTAAATTAGACCTTTTATTGTCTAGTTTTCACTCTCAGAGACCCCGACAGGCTACTGAAAGTATCTTTCCCACATATATGCCTGACTAGTAACACCTGTAAAGGTGATTTAGAGGCTGTTCCAAAAGCCTCCATCCTTCTCAGAGAGCCCAGCAAGCTACTGAGAGTATCCCGCCCACACGGCAGAGCCTGGCAAGCTACCTGTGGTGTACTTGATATGCCAAAAACAGTATCAATGATGGTCTTCATTCCCCTGGCCCTGAAAGAGCCCCCAATATGCCATTGGGCTACACTAGCACATGTCAGGGACAAATGGAGACATTATTGGCACCCACTCAAGCAAATCGATGAACAACAGGAGGACAGTGATACAGTGATTTAATATAACATTTTCTGAATATTAAAAATTCTCTAACAATTTAATTTCCATGTACAGTCATTATTTTCCTAGTTTCCCTTTTATTTCTTCACCTTTCTATAATTTGTACTTTTAGGCTTTCCTGAGTATTATTTGGGCTGGAGCGATAGCACAGCAGTAGGACATTTGCCTTGCACGCAGCCAACATGGCCGACCCGAGTTCGATTCCTCCGCCCCTCTCGGAGAGCCCGGCAAGCTACAGAGAGTATCTTGCCCGCACGGCAGAGCCTGGCAAGCTACCCGTGATGCATTCAATATGCCAAACACAGTAACAACAAAGTCTTCGATGGAGACATTACTGGGCCCACTTGAGCAAATCAATGAACAACGGGAGGACAGACAGACAGAGTATTATTTAATGGCTGATGCTCTCTAGAATTTGTTTTTAGTCTTATTTTTCAATTTCTCTTGATTGTTATATTCAAACATAGATGTAAAAAATTTCTCAGCACATATTTTCACCTTATATATCTCTTCAAACTCTAACTTAGTATTTTTAGTTAAGTAAGAGTCATTGGAGATCCCACCAACATCTTACACCAACTGTTAATACTCAGTCCTTCCCATCACAATTGCTTTTATCTCTAAATTACCAGTAGCTGTGAATGACACTAAGATTCACCATAACCACCCAGGATTTAATGTAATGACTCATACTGGACCCCTCACTTGCTACTTTTACCCATATGGTGAACAATTCATATCAATTTTTTTTACAATACATGTCCACATTTTTACTGTTACCATGTTTCTTGTATAACATCTTACTCTGAATTCAGTAAAAAAAATTTTTTTCGTCATCATATGTGAGAAGAGAAATCATGAAAACCATCTTTGATCATATGCTTCCTTTATTGAAATTCTTTAGAATGGATGTTCCCTTACTTTAGAGTATAAAACCCTAACTCATTGCACTGCAGTCTTTCACTTCATTTTTAACTTCAACCTTATTTCCTGTTATCATCTTCT